CCCGCAGAGTGAAAAAGAGAAACACTTCGCAAAGTGTCAAGAAGGGTGTAGGAAGGATGTCGAGCGTTGTTTTGGTATCTTGCAAGCTCGTTGGGCCATTGTCAGGGCTGCAGCTAGAATGTTTGATGTCGAGGCTCTTCGATCCATCATGATGACGTGTATTATTCTCCACAACATGATTGTTGAAGACGAGTATGATTATGATGCCGTCGATGAATACGAGCCGGATCCGATGAACAACTCAAGAACACAAATCTACTATGCTCATGACCGGACCGAAGATCCCGTGCAACACGAGCCGTTGGAACGGGATGGACGTTACAATGAATTGATCGTTCAACGATACACTTCATTGCAAGAGCCATACTGGCACATATCCCGCCAGAATGACTTGATTGAGCATCAGTGGAGCTTGCACGAAGGCGAAGATAATTAAAATAAGGCTTGTGGTTGAAGAATAAAGTGTATTGTTTTTTTAAGTAATCTTATTTAGTGTGTTTGCTTTTTTTTTTTTTAAGTTTAAATGGTGAGGTTATGTAATTTTAAGTTTAAATGGTTTTTTTTTAAGTTTAAATGGTGAGGTTATGTAATTTTAATTTTAAATTAAATAAAGTTCTAAAAGTAAATAAGAAATTACATAACAAATTAAATAAAGTTCTAAAAATAAATAAGAAATTACATAAGAAATTAAATAAAGTTCTAAAAATAAATAAGAAATTACATAACAAATTAAATAAAGTTCTAAAAATAAATAAGAAATTACATAAGAAATTAAATAAAGTTCTAAAAATAAATAAGAAATTACATAAGAAATTAAATAAAGTTCTAAAAATAAATAAGAAATTACATAAGAAATTACATAAGAAATTAAATAAAGTCTGTGGAGTTAGGATATGTGGTGCTAGGATCTTGGTTGCTAGGATTTCTGTAGCTGGAACCCCCTTGACTTGTTTCGGCATCTCTTGCACGCCTCCTTCGCACGACATCTCTTTTTTCTGATGTCCAAAAATATTTTGAATTCGGAGACAGTCCTACTAGAGACTTGTTCATAGTGTCACGATCTGTTTGAGCCATCCTTTCTTCTCTAAGCATCTCATTCTCTCGATGAAGTGCTTCTCTAATCATCTCGTTCTCTCGATTAACTATTTCTCTTTGTCTCTCAGCCGCCGCATCACGAGCCTCAGTAGCTGCAATAATTGCTGCCACAGCAGCAGCTTTTTCCTCATCTCTAGCCTTTTCCCATGCCATGTTCATTTCACCTTGACGAGTAAGTTCCTCCATATATTTAGTGTAGTCATTTTTGGAAGAACTACCTTTTTTCTTTGATGCCTTTTTACCTTGAGGCCTGAGGGACTGACGAGTCGGTTGGGTCTCTGGCACTTGTTCAGGCATCCCTTCCGTGTCTTCAAATGTGTTGGCTTCTTGTTCGGCTGTGTCTGCTTCTGGCGAACTGTGTAGACCCATACCGTGCATGACAACTTCTGGACCGGTTGCCACAATTTTGTATCTAGGGCAATCTTTGACAATTTGCCAACATTCCCATTTGTTGAATGATTTGTTATGGTTCTTTGCATTGTAGAATGCTTGTGCTTGTAGTGTCTATAAAAATTACATAAAAATTACATAAGAATTGTGGAATGCATAAAAATTATATAAAAATTACATATAAATTACATAAGTATTTGGAATGCATATTACATAAAAATTACATAAGAAATTAAATAAGAATTGTGGAATGCATAAAAATTACATAAGTATTTGGAATGCATATTACATAAAAATTACATAAGAAATTAAATAAATTAAAATATTGATGTGGGTGGAATGCATATAAATAAATAAAAATATTGTTACCCTCATCCGCTAAACTTGTCCCACTACGCAAATTACCAGAAGCATGAGAGAGGGCGTTTTTCCAACAAGTAAAGGATGCGTTGAGTTTTTTCCAACGACCTTGAAGACCTTGACTAGATCTGGCATCTTTTCCATGTACATCTTTTCCATGTACATCGTTGAACGATTTCGTAATTTTACTCCACATTTCTCGCTTATCCATCTCATTACCCGTAATCGGGTCATGAGTAGTGCGAACCCAACATTCACACAACGTAACATCTTCACTGAGCTTCCACGAAGTCATTTTTTTCTCTCAAAGTGTACAAAATATTCAAATGTAGAAAGTGTAGAAAGTGTAGAAAATATTGAAATGTGGTGTAAGGTGGAAGATGAGGGTTAGGTATTTATAGAAATAAAAAATGTATTTTTTAAAATTTTTCTGTATTTTTTTAAAAATTTTTGACATTTTTTTATTATTTTTTAATAAATTTTAATGTTGTAATTAATCGGGACCGTTGGATTTGAAAAATAATCAAATCCAACAGCACTCATTACGCCACGTGGCCAACGGTCAAATTTCTGACTGTTGGGCCTTTTTTTTTTTTTTTTTTAATTTTTGGTGAAATAAACGTGGACCGTTGATCTGTGATCAGACGGTCCAATTTAAAATTTAAATTTAAATTTTTTTTACCGTTGGAAATCCAACGGCCTAAAAAACTAGCCGTTGGAAATCCAACGGCTCTGACGAGGCCACGTTGCCTTCACCCGGGCGACCGCAAGTGGGTCTGCACGCGGGCCCCAGCGCCTGTCTTCTTGTCGGCTACTCGCCTGGGCAGCCGCGTGTGTTGCACGCGCCAGCAAAACAGGCCGGCTTTTGGGTCTGTCCATTTTGGGCTGGGCAACAGACTGGCACGGGCTGGGTGCCAGTCAAATGTGCGGGCTGGAGCAGAAAAATGTGGTGCCAGTCCATTTTCTTCACTTGGTGCCAGTCCATTTAGCATGGGCTGGAGTTGCTCTTAAGTAGTCTGAAAAGTGAACGATAAAAATTTGACTATAAGAAATCAAACAGTGAAGATTGTTTAAATGTTAGACTATTAGGTAAGCTGGAGTACCTAAGACAAACACCACTTTTTTCTTCTTCTACACACTTCTTTTTAATTTTGGTCATCGAATTGAATAAATTCAACAAAACCAACATACAAATATATTTTGAAGGGGATAGAAAGGGTATATGTATTGCTCTTGTAAGATTTAAAAATAATTATATATTGAATGATAAATTGTGAAGAGTGTGAGAGGGACCAAAGTGATGCTACAACAATGATGTTACATTTGAAGTTGGAAATGATGGTGAAAGAAGCTGAGGTTTTCAATGCTTATACCTAATACCATAAATGCCACATACCCTGTCACATTCCTACCACATAAAAGAGGAATTTGAATGCTTGAAGTATAATTTATGTGACAACAAACTTACAAGGACAAATTTGCTTTTTTCTTCTAATTTTGATAATTTCATGTTACATGTATGCCAGAAGAACTGTAAAGACCTTGGTACAAAATTAATGATACGATTTACAAGCTGGGTTCGGTTTGGAATTGAACATTTCCTAAAAAATTTGGCATCTTTAGAAAAAATGGGCAATCCCTAAACAACCAAATATCAGAATTCTACGAAATTCTTTTATGTGAATGCAAGTGGTAATTTCAACTATTGGAAAACAAAGTACTCAATACACAAAACCTCTACTATGACATGTACCTGATGAATGAATGATTTGATTTGTGGATAAGAAACAACAAAGAATCCAACAGTGAAGATCTTAGTATGTATTATATATACAGTGATGCATACTAAAAAATTTGATCAAAACATTTCACATCCTTGAGATTTGATGCTTCTGGCTGTTATAGTGATGACCACAAGATGATATCACTTGTCACTTGTCTTGTGCCAAATTCTGAAGTCCTTTTAGCACTATGCTGTGGAAATGGCGTCTGAAATTAGAATAATGTATGCTAAAAAAATAACATGGTGAATTTATTCCTTATTGAAGCCAGCTAAAATTTTCCTACCAAACAAGAAAAGGGTCTTTTGTTTCTTCGAAGAAGCAAAACCAGTTATGGATAGAGATCAATTATTTTTATGTGGTTTCTGAAAATATGGGCTCATTGGGCTTATTTTCAATGGAAGGTTGTTGGGTGTTTTTTTTGCCAAACTTCACGTGAGCAAATTATTAATTGTTTTGATATTATAAAGAAAGTTGACGTTCCGTTTTAAAAATTAATTGGCAACGGAGGAAGTGACCCGACACCTTATAAAGCCCTTGCAAGGTCACTTTTCCCAACTTTCCGATGTGAAAGAGTTCTTCACATCCTTACACTGACCTCTTGATTTTGTAAACATATGCGTATCTTTTATTCCACAAAACCAGTGAAGCTTAATTTGTTTGTTGGTCATGTTTTAGTTGAGTTGAGTATAGCTTTGTTTTCTGTTGTTGTTTTGGCTCTGGTTTTGGAATTTATTATGCTGTTGTTCTTTCCCCATAAACTAGGCAAAAACGCCATAATCTGCTCACTTCTTTTCTTTCTTTTGGCTTATACAGAAAGCAAGCAAGTTCCAAAGTGTGGTCAGAATGCTTTTCAGAGAAGCACATTTCATTAGCCAGAAGGCCCAGAACTTCAATTACAACACCAGTTAGAAGTTTAATTATAAGCAGTAAATCAGGAAAACCATTTATTTAACATGGAGAGGCATACGGTCTCTTAAATCATGCATAACCTTCCAAATTGTCAACCTTTTATTCACATTAATGGGACTAGGGAATTAGGGCGACATCCTTTCCTGCACCCGAGGTCATGAGTTCAATTTCTCTTTCTCAAATATCAACTTGTATTTATAAAGAAGTGATTTCCACACAATTTTTAGTTCCTCACACACCCATTTTTATTTATGGCCGTCAAATCAAATAAATCAAACGAAAACAACGAACAAGGTTAAACTGGTGTGCGTTTATCAGGTCTTTTATAAGTAAATGAACTGAAAATGTCAAGTTCACTTTGGAACAACCAAAAAGTTGCTTTAAATTATCATTACTAATCATATGGTCTAAACAATCTTGAGTGCATCAAAAATTTGTTAACTTCAATTTTAATAGAAACGCTAACATCATAATCCGGATCTGTAAAATTTAAGACATAATATTTGGGTTCTATGTACAATATCTGGAATAATCCAGGAGAGGAGTTTACTGAGAGATGGAAAGACCTAATGAAAGAAGAACAACTGAAATGAGGCCCATACAATTTGGCTTTCCAATTTGCACAGGAATACATGAAAGATCTATCTCGAAAATGTAGTTAAAGGAAAAAAATTTGACCTAATTTAACTTTCTAGTTCACTTCGTATCCAGTCTCGTGCGCACATCAATGCTTGGACGGTACCTGGGTTCATGGAACTCCAATCACGGTCGACCATTCTTCGTCCGGTGTTGAATGCAGAGTCCATAGCAACTTTTGACACAGGAATTCCCAACACATTGCGAGCCATCATAGATAGGACAGGGTACCTAGGAGCATGAACTTTCCACCAATTTAATATGTCAAATCCCTGTGCATGACGGGGGAAGGCAGGCTCCTCCAAGTACTTGTCCAAATCTGACTTTGTTCCATCAGCCTCATTAGTTTCCTCTATATATCTATCAAAACCACTCAGCCTATCCCCTGACTCCCTTTCAGAACCGGGCAAGTGAGAACCATCACGTACTTGCCAAGCCACACCTTGATCAAGGGAAGCTAAGCAGTTTGAATGTTCATTATACAGTGCCTTGACACACACAATAGCCTCAGAAATCCGGCTTGGAGCGCCACTGCCAAAAACTTGCCCATAATAATACTCTACCACTCTCATCTTGAACCGAGGGTCTAATATGGCTGCAACCGCTAAACCCAAGCTACATCTCTGCCAATATTCTTCAAATCTGCTTCTCATCTTAAACGCGAGAGAACTGATATAATCATCTGGATTCTTGCACCACTCATTCAGCTGCAAGTGTACTTCACAAAGCTCAGGAAAATACAAATTTGCAGTCGGAGACTTGAATTTTGTGAAACCATCGGTAACCTCAACAAAGAGCTTCAAGTAGCTCGTAATGACACTCACTCTATGCCATTCAATATCAGATGGACACATGGTGTAGACAACGTCATTTGCATGCAAAAGATAAAATGCTTCCCTGTACTCCAAAGCAATTTCAAGCATAACATATGTCGAGTTCCACTGCATTTGATTATCTAGGCATAAGAATCTCTTACTCTGACCTCCACCTTGTTGAGCTATCCCGTCAAATTTTGCTTGTACTGCTTGCGAACTTTTGACATACCGTATACTTCCTCGAATCTTATCAGTAATCTCACAAAGTGCTTCTAGAGCATCCTGAAACATCATATTAAGAACATTTGCTGCACAACGTACATCAAATAACTGACCATTACAATAAAGTAACTTGTTTTGGGACAGCCTATCTTTGATTCTAATGACTATGTTGTCATTGGTGGAATAACTATCAAATGTCATAGAAAACAACTTACGGTCAATATCCCATTCGATTAACGATGTCATGATAATTTCTGAATGCTTGTCTTCTGTATCAGAAGAATCAATGACAATAAAATTTAAAATCTTCTTCTTTAACTGCCAAGACTCATCAATATAGTGTGCTGTCAAGCACAAGTACTGAGCACCATCCAAAGAAGCCCACATATCCGCACTAAGGCTGATTCTACCAGGCAATTTATCCAACACATCATTCACTTTTTGCTTCTCTTTCACATATATCTCCATACAGTCAGCCTCAACTCTTTCAGATGTAACAAGCTCAAATAATGGCTGTAAATTCTTAACGAACACTTTGAATCCAACATCCTCAACCATATCCAAGGGATAACCATGTAAAATAATCATTCGGGCAAGATCAAACCTACTCCGCCTTTGATCAAAGTTATTACTTCCATAGTTAATGATGTCATCTTTTGTCTGCTCTTGCTCAAACCTAATATTCACAAGGTTAATACCTTCATCCTTTTTCTTCCGTTGATCCAAGTTGAAATAAGTCCCTTCCTTTCTCTTTCCTCTTGCTGCAAAGAGTTGAGGTATGCCAAGATTAGATCTTCTCTGACACCTAATTAAATGATTCCTCAAATGTGATGTCCCACTGGTACTTGATCCGCTGAGTTTCTTTTTACAATGTCTACAAACAGCAATACATGTGTTATCAGCCAATTTAATCCTATCGAAGTCATTCCACACGACAGATTTTAATCTGGTTGATTTGATGTTCACCGCATTGGACATATCCATTGCATTGACTTAGTACCTCACCAGTACCTGCACATAAAAAAAAATGAATATGTATATTATTAGTAGTAGGATTACTAACCCAAAAGGAAAAGAAAAAACGGAGAGAACCAAAACAAGAAGTCGACTCAAAGATATGACTACCAACCTTTCTTAAATTATCAATTCTCCCTCAATAAAAATGTCATAAGACAACATATGTTTTTTTATTTAGAAAGAAAAAATTACAAACGTTTGCCCGTGCATTTTCACACAACAGAAGTTGAAACAATCTAAAAGGATTAATAATAGTCTCATAGTTATGATCAACAATTACATGACAAAAAATAGTGGCAGGCTTCTGTTTATGCGTCACAATTCGAAAACGTAGAAGTGACAGCACTGCGAATCTTACAAATGCATGAGAGTTGCATATCTGTATAGGCAAAATTGGTAAAACAATTATCCAAATGCCCTACACTCATGCTGACACTAAATAAAATATATGTTGAGGTGCAAAATTAACTGAAGTATTGTAAAGTAACAAATTTCGCAAAAATAAAAGTAAAAATAAAAAAATCAACCAGCTCAAAGAGGCTAAGCTAGACATCAAAAGAAAAGGAACTACTACCAGAATGGACCAGGCGTATCATATGGAAATGTTATGACCCAATTGAGAAACACGATTTGACCCGTGTAAATACAACATCAACCAGTTCAAAGAACACAAATCTCGATTTAGCTTTTCGGATTGATGATGACCAATGTACTTCTCTTCTTTCAGCAGAAAAATGGCATTAATTGTAAAGGTTACTCCAGAGTGTTATAATTCACATGTGTTGAAGACAGAAATGTGCACAGTCATCTCAATAAAACACACAACAAATAGTTGGATCGAGGAGAGGAGTTAATCGATAGTTTTACAACAACTGATGAGTATGAACTATGAAGCTAAGGCATCATCCCTGCCAACTGCAGAACATACAATGCAGTACAGGAAGACTCGCTCTGTACCATAATCCAAACAAGGGTTGTTGTAAAATAACTACGACATCGGTGCAAGCATTCTACAAGTAACGCAATCTGCATAGCAACCATGCATTAGAAAATTTACAATGGAAAGCATCATAAATTCGAAAATTTACGGGTTTGCAACAAATCCATAATTACATCAAGATGCCTAATTCTTTACTAAAAGAGAGAGAAAGAAGGCATCTTTCTGCTCTTCAATGTTCAGGAGCTTTTACCGTACACAAGCAAAGAGTGCATACTGAAGAAATCACAGCAAACATTACATTAAGTCTGGTCTTGAAATTCGACCCGAGTATTGAACCGGGTCCATGGGGAGAGACAAGGCGGGTCGGGCATTTCAGATTTCAGAAAGGGGTAAAATTAGGTTGGGAAAGACGAGCTTCCGGAAATGGCCGGATCGGAGACGGATTTCGGGACCCGCCTGACCCAACCCGGACTCCAAGCGGGTCGCATCCGTACGGGTCAAAGGGCCCACTTTAGAACTCAATTGCGGTTCTCGGATAGGAATCCCAATATAAATATAAAACAATACAGGAATCCACAACAAACGAAGAAACAAATAAGCCCCAAATTGCATTCGGACTCGGACCCAATTTAGGGTTCAAACCCGAAAAAAAGAAAAACGAAATGTTTCAAAATTAACAGAGGAGAGATGGTGAGATTAGGGTTTGGAGACGTACAGTTAAGGGAGACGCTGAAGGACGCCGACTTTGCGAGGGAGCGGAGGAGAATTGGGGTCGCTAGGGTTAGGGTTTGCGGGTTGTTTTGTTCGAGAAAGAGAGAGTGGCAGTGTGGACAAAATATGGAAGCGGGAGAGCAATTTGGTAAGAAGGCGCGCAGCGGTGGTAACTGCGAAGGGGTCACGAAGCAAGGACTTTAAGTCAATTACTAATCTACCCTTGTGTGTGGGTGTGTGTGTGTGTGTGTGTTCTTTTTTTAAACAAACGGAAGTATCTATACTAATAGAGTGTGGAAGTAGACTAAGCTTACAATAAGTTTGCCATAATAACGTGGTTTAATATTGCATTTTATATACCTGGTGACATTTAACACGACACATAAATGACACAAAAATAATGGGTTTCGGATCATTATCAGGTCACACGATAATAACCCATTAATAACGTATCCTTAATAGATTTACACGAGAGTAGCACACGGATAACCTGTTTCGACACGATAAAAAAAAAAAGAAGTTATTTTGATGATTTTAATTTTTTAAACTACTAGAATAAACTTATTATAAAATACAATAGATATAATGAATATGTGTATATTATTTATTAATTATTATTCTATATAAATTTTAAAATTTATTTATTTTTATAGTATATTATAGGCAAAGATTGAGATTAAAAATCATAAAACACAATAAAAATAAAAATATCAAGTAATTTAAAAATACCAAACACATTTAAAAAATTATAATAATTAATTTACATATACGAAAAATATTAAAAAATATGCAAATGCTTGTAGTCGCATCCTATACGCTTTGAGGATGGGTATATGATCGTTTGAATTTTTAAAACCATACAAACTCATGAATAGTATTTTTAAAGGAGTTCAAAATAAACAAAATTCATAATCATTAATGTATAAGTCTGAAAGATGTGAATGCATAATAAACGTTCATAATTGCACCCACAACGCTTAGACAATGGTTATATGGTTGTTTAGATTTTTAAAACCCTCCAAATCTCATGAACAATGTTTTTTTATTTGAGTGCAAAATTAATAAAAGTAATAAAAATTATTGTAGAAGTGTGAAAAATGTAATCACTCATAATGAAAAGCTTTACAACTTTCATGAAGGGGTCAACTTCGAAATTTAGTATGTATATACTAATTTAGTATCATGTTTACATTTTTGGGTCAAATTATGTTTTTCATTTTCATTTTTGTTGATTTAAAATATATTTTTCTTAACAGGTAACAGGTCGGATCATATTACCTGGTAATATTAACGGATTGATTTCAGATCGAGTCATATTACCGGTTTACTTTAACGGGTATTACACGACACGACCCGTTAAGCTATCGGGTATGATACGAAAACAATACGAACACGAGAAACATGACACGAATGCTAGGGCTAGCATTTAACAAGAATCAAATCTTCATTTTAGAAATTTTTTTTTTTCAAAATATATCACGGAAATTAAAGAATAATTAACATAGAAAGCTCATGTGAGAGTGCCGCTCTTTAAAGGTTTGAAAGCGTTTTCAAATTTTAACTTTGTTTGACATACAAAAGTTATATGTTATAGAATACATTCTAATTTCTACTTCAAAAATAAGTTATATTGACAAACATATTATGATCAGATACACACGTAACCCAATTATGATCAAATATGCATTTTGACAAAATAGGAAAAAGGAAAAGAGAAACATGTCTCAAACATGAAGATCGAGTGGCTGCCACGCACTAGAGGACTTAGATCCTCTCTGGATCCTTTCTATGAGGAACCTAATAATCGATTAATCTTAGTCGTAGATTGTACGGTTTTGAATAATTGCATTCTTTTTCATTTGTTAGATGCAACAGACACTTTTTTGTCTTCCTCCTCTTTCCGTTTATATACTTCTCTCTTCTTCCTCTGCTATATGATGCTTTCCTGGAAAATTATGAAAATTCACATGCAAAAAGCCAACTGAACTTCACTACTCGTTTGTTTCATTAGTTGGCACCCAAACCCTATTTGGCACTTCTTCATTGGGCTGGTTACAAGTTGGAAGAAAGGCAGCAAAGAGGGAGGGAGAAAGAGAAGAACTTGTAACTCAAAAATCAACGAAATTGAACGTGTGTGCAAATTCTTAGTTGGATGTTTAATATATGGTGAGGAGGATTCTCTTCCCTCCTATTCTCATCTCCTTCCCTCCTCTTCTTTTACGTATTATTTTTTGTCTTTTTATTTTTATAAAAAAATCAATATAAGATGTTGACATAACTAAATGGTAACAGAAGAAAATGGAAGAGAGGTTGGGAGATTGACAGATTCCTCCTCCATATTTGGGAGAACCAGAGCCACAAACTCAGGTGTTGCCCTTTGGTTTCCAGCTCTTAGGCCTCCGACAGTGGACGGTGTTGTGAGATTTGGGTCTTACATAACATAACATGTTGGTGTTACATCAAGTTACAGTTGATGAATGGACAAAGTACATGTAATGATGAAAGCTTTTGGAATTATAAAGGAAGGCCCTACTCTCACGTGCCTTGATATGTTGTCGCTTTTTATATCCTCCACAGCTCCACTCTACCTTTAGGGTTTCCACTGCTTTTATACTCTCTTTTTTACCAACTTTTTTTATCCCCGTTTTCCATTATTTATTTATTTCTTCCTAAAGTAAAATATATATCAAATGTAATTATGCACATTTTTTTTGGTTAACTTATGCATATTAAAACTAATCACCTAATTTGTATATGAGGTTGAATGTGATTGTGATAAAAATACATGTTTTTCTCTAAATCAAAAGATACATTTTCATATGCAAAACTTCTTCAATAATTGAATGCATTTTTTAAGTCCTGATATTCTAGTAGCGTGCATTGTATTGTACTAATTAAATCCATACATCTATTAACTCCATCATGCATATATATAAAAGCATGCAATGTATTAAACATTAGAGGACGAATCAATAAAATTTCATAAGGTTGCAGCATGAAGTTTGTGATTATTGGGGTCTTGGTTTTTCAAAGCCTTTAATTTATGAGTGCATTTCTAATAAATAAAATTCCTTGTAATTATAATTCTTTTTTTATAACCAATATTTATGTTATAAATAATAAGAAAAACTGAAATGTGTATGTTATAAGATGCTAATTAACGCACGTAAAAGTGGCTTTAAAAGGGAGACAAAGTTTCAAGAGAAAGAAAAGCTAGCTAAGGTATATATGCCAATGCAATTGAGATCAGCAAAAGAAAACCCTTTGATGGGGCAATAATTCTTTACTTCGGCTTCTTGATGAAATCAACTTCACAATCCACAGACCTTTAAATACACGACTTGTACTTCCCATCATCGACTCATTTTCTCAGGAAATTATTATTCATACACTTCAGGGTTAATTTTTGAGAAGAAACGAGCGGGCAAACCAGATCAAATTGTAGTGTTTCAGCATGGGTGTTCTTGGAGTCATTGCTAAAAATTTGGATACAATAATCGGGTATGTTGCAAAAGACACACCTAAAATATCATATGTTCTTATTCTTGTTATTGTTTTATAATTATATCCTCCATACATCGATACTAATGTGACATGCATGTCTATTACAAAAAGTGCAGAAAATGTTTTATATGCATGGTGCCTTCGTCTGAAAAATGTCAATTTCCATGCCACGTATAATAATTAAGCACGCACAGCTTCATCTTTATATGTTAATCTTGATTTGGTTTAAATTTATCCAAGAAGTATGAATAATAACCTGCATGAACGACCATATATATATATATGTGTGTGTGTGTGTGTGTGTGTGTGTGTATTTTGATTATCATAACCGGAACTTACTAATTGATATTTCATTTCTACCGATTAATCTTGAGATGTTTGCTTTTGATCTTCTTGCAGGCCAGGAGTGATGCTTCTTTATCCATTGTAAGTAAATTCTTAATAATCGACGAAAGGGGGAAATAATCAGCTAGAATTGATTGACTAATTTGTTTATATATTTATTCCTTCCATTTTGTCCATGCATGAACAGGTATGCATCAATGAGAGCAATCGAGAGCCCTTCAGCACTCGACGAACAACAGTGGCTACCATATTGGGTTATATACTCTTTCATAACCTTATTCGAACTATCCTTCTGGAAAGTACTAGCTTGGTATGTCAACAAAATACTGCATGCACATTTACTCTAGGGAGATGGTTTCACACTGTCGTTTTTTCTAATTCCATTTATTTAATCTACAAATAAATAAAAGAAATGAGTGCATATATGAGGAGAAAAATAGAATTCGGAAATCATTTTCCTTTATTCTGATACACATTTTTCTAATAATTATTCATGAAACTATTGATTAAACTATACATCTGTTTGGACATTTGATTAAACTATACATCTGTTTGGACATTGGCATATATAGGATTCCAATATGGCCCTATATGAAGCTGTTATTTTGCATGTGGTTGGTGCTGCCAATTTTCAATGGGGCAGCCTATGTTTATGAGAACGTTGTGAGGAAGTATGTGAAGCTTGGAGACCATTTGAGCTCAAACTATCCAGCGGGTCAGAAGAAGGTCCTGCAAATGATGAGCCTCGACGCAAGGAAGCATGTCGAACACTTCATCGATCAATATGGAGTTGAAGCTTTCGAAAGAGTCGTCAAAGCAGTATGTACAAACACTAATTAATATCTATTAATGTCTTTCTAGGTAAGATTAAGTTCACTAATGAATGTGTGATTTTGCAGGCTGAAAGAGAAGCTAGGAGGCACTGATCCATGCAGCAACTATGAAGCTACAAACATATAGAGGAGATGTGCATTAATCTGGTCTTTGTATATAGGCATATGGTCTTCTATATTTTGTTTATATGAATGGAAAATTATGTTTACTCACTTTCTAATTCTCTTAACCTTCTTTTCATGATCACTTTGGTAATATAAATAAAAAATGCATGTCCAAAATGTGTACTTCGAAGAAATACAACAAATTTTAAATTTCCATTGCATACAGTACCAAAAACTTGGGAGAAAAAAGGCCAAAATTTCCCTGCTAATGAAGGGACTAGAATTTTCGAATACACTCAACAAAACAGGAATCACCCAGTAGAATTTCAGATACAGAAGGATGTAGTCTGCAAAGAACTAAATTAAATTGTAGGAAAAAGCATATAATCTACTATTACACGGTCATATTTTACAGATCCCATGTGAAGAGTAACATGGCTTAAGAAACAGATGTGAAAATACAAAGTTTCCAACAGTTAATTTGGCTAGTGTTACTGCAAGCGGAGCGACCGGAAATCCTATGAACTATGCTGCTTTTGGCATTCATACATGAACATTCCTGTATCCTGACCTAAACGGTGAACCTGTTGCAGTCACAAAACCTTTATAAGCATCAGACAGAAAAATGGATGCAGCGGAAAGGAAAATATAACCAGTTTAAAAGACTTGCTTCTAAAACCTGTAAATCTTTGTTGCTTTCTTCTGAGGTTGTGGTTCTCTGAAACCATTAGTTACCGCAACAAAGGGAATTGTTGAATGGATTGACCTGGAGTTATCCTGATCCACATTTGGAGTGGGTTTTATGATGTGTTTTGCTCCTGCACTAAGTTTAACTGGGGCCTGTACTTCTCATAACGCTGTCCATTTTGGAAGACTCGACTCCAAAGGGTTCAAATCTAGCCTTTTGAAAATAATGTTGGCTGCAACCCAAATCGCTTTCTTTCTTCCAACTTGAGTCGAGGTCAAGTGCTCTCAAATTAGACTGCATTTCATCGAAAATGTTCCTTCTTGACGATCCTGTGGCAGTACTCAACTTTTCCTGCGTTTCTAAGTGCACCATGTCGGGAGCCTTTGTTGAATCTACAGCTTTCACGGCTGGTCTCTTGGTTTTCTTGAAGGGATAGGGATCTTTGATCTTGATTCTGTTTCTATCCATGTTGGTGGCAGAGGTTGGTTTTGGATTTACTTCTTGAATAGCTCGAGCAAGAGGAGGAATACCAGTAGTCGCCGGAGTATGTGCATTCTCCCTCACTTGTAAATGAGAGGTCATGAAATTGCAAGGATAAGAAATTTCCGAAGGATGATATGTGCTAAAAAAATTAGCTGTCGGCCCAATATGCTGATGGTGTCTGCTATCCACATTTGGAAAAGATTGAGAAGCTGCATTTGGGACTTGCAGTGTTGCATGTAACAACCAAGGGGGCATGCCCTTAGAGGAGCTCTCAAACCACGATGACTCCACATTCTTTTCTCTACATTCGGGATTCAGGATAGGCAAGCCGATTGATGATTTCACAAAATGAGGTGGATCCTGATTGTAATTCAGTTCAGCAGGTCCTAAAACCCCATGCCCACAAGTATTCAGAGAAGCAGATAATACTGGTAGTTGAGAGCCAAACTGTAGGGATTGTAGAGATTCAGCTCCAGATATGAATTGCTCCCGGAAGTTAGGTGGCCCATTAAACATTGCAGGCGAAGCAGGCAACTGAGCAAAACGGATCAAATTAGAACTTGGACATCTGTCGGCGGTAAGGCTGCCATTTTCAAACATGGAATTGCTTTGCCAGTTGCGGTAAGGGTGGGGAAATCTAGACTCTGGAGCTTTCATCATTAAATTTTGTTGTGGGGCATGTTCTCTGTGAATTTCAAATGACTGTGCGGCAGGTTCTTTCAACTTTCCCGATGCTGTGCATGGAAACCAGTTCTGCTGGAAATTCCTGTTCAACGACAAAGTATCCAAGGCAGTACTTGAAGGATGATGCTCTGCTATAATTTCCTTATCCATCCACACTTTTCCATCCTCAAACCCTTGAATCTCTTTGCTACTTTTACCAATTGCCACATCTTTTCCCATTAACCGCATCGTTGGTTGATTCACGTTCAATGGTGTGTGGCCTGAATTTTCCGTAGAGATCATTCCACGTATCTTTTGGTTCTGTACCTGGTCAAATTGTCTGCGTCCACTGATAGAGACATTCATCAGGTTTCGGTCTGAAACAAGCGGGCGAAAAGAGTGGCTGCTTCCGCTCTCAAAATCAAGCTGATGTATATCTGCCTCTTTGAGTATTTTGCAAGTAAGTAGCACCAAACAAATCTCGAATATGTGACCTAGGATTCTCTTTAACATAATTCTCCATAGGAAAGAAGTTCAACCGGTCATTTGGAAGTTCTCTTTCCAAAAAATGCTTGTTGTATGCAGTCGAACAATCTCCCGTACTTGGTACACAGGTAAAATTCTGCGTTGGTAAGCTACTCATACTCGTTAAGTGGGTAAAATTCTGTATTGGTAAGCCACTGGAAAACCCTGGTATAGCATTCGTCTTCCTCAACTGGATTAGCTCACCATGTGAATTGAGAGGCAAACCAACAAAATCCTCATCTGCACACCTTTCCCTATATGTAACCGCTCTTTGTTTCCACTCCGGAAAGGGATATGAGCCACCCATCAAGTTCACAGGTGGACATACTGATTGGGAGTACAGACCACGATCCGCTGAATTTATCTATTTCAGATTGTGACAGGAACGGAAACCTCCCCTTTGCATTCTCATTGAAACTGAAACTAGATGAAGAAGAGACAAGAAATGCTCCAGTATTTTCCTTTGAACTCACTGCAGAAACTCCGTGCATAGGATGTATGACACAATCAATCATTCCACTGGGCTCAAAATCTCTGGAAACAGTAGCTCCTTGAGTACTTAGGCAGGGTTCTTCTAGAGAACAAATCGGTCTTGGAATGCCAGAATATGCAGGTCTAAGTGTGGGGGTAGGGTAGCCTTGCTCAAACATACCTAAATTATTATCTTCAGTCGCAAAACTACTTGAAGGCACAGATTTATCAGGCAAATGCTTTACTTTTTCTTGATGAGTCATATGTGGCCTCAGAAAACTAGGAATATTAACATGATCGGGAATTAGAGGCAATTCCTTCCTTCCGATTATACTGCAAGACTCGGTTCCAATATCTGTGCCAATTGAAACATCATTTTCTCTTCTATCTACCTCCACGGGGGTTGCTTCTTTATTACTGTCAGCATACTCATCCTTCTCAGATGGACTAGCAAAGGAATCTGAATTATTCTCAAGGGAAGACACTCCATTATTCCTTGGACTAAGTATGTGATCCGTTCCAGAAAACCTGACATGCCTTTCTGAATGTTGAATACCACAAGGATTTGATTGACTATCACTTTGCATGCCGCAATAAGTGGAGTTCTGCCCACAAGCATCATGATTCTTGAGAATGCTGTGAACGGCAAACACCGGTTTTTTATGCTTAGGAAACGACTTCGATATTTGAGCAACTTTTCGCTTCTTTGCAGATAAACATTTGAGATTTGGTGTCCTTGCACGAACAGTTATGGAATCCCAAACATCCACCGCACACCTCTTATTCAGCTTTTTGGCAAAATTAACTGAACTTTGCAATTTAAGTTTGCAAGAATGCTCCTGATTCATACAAGAAAGTTATTACACCGTCACATACAAATTCTTAAAACAAACAAGAAATTTACATAAATCTATATCTTTCTTTCAGTAAAACTTTGTATAAATTGATCATAAACATTCAATCGTAGTTAACAAACTAAGCATTAGAAATTATTTTTTAGCTACAATATCAGAATTTACTGGATTAACAGCACTCTTACATGCAAACGGACTTTCCAAACCAACAAGTATTTTGGACTGCCGTACTGTAAGTTTATAGTCACTTAAAGGTATTGATTATCGATCCATTTTAAAGCACTAGTATATCTTTCTGACAAAGAAGAAAAACTAAAATTCCAGCAGAAATCAACTAGCATAACGCTAAAAAAAAAAAAAAAAAAAAAAAGCACTTTTCAAATCCTTTTTCCATAAATTCCAATGAACAAAGAGCAAAATGACAAGAAGATTAATAAAACACCACCCCAGCTGAAGTTTGTTCTAGCAACAGTTAATACTTTAATTTTGTCCGACCGAAAGACAAACTTTAATATTCAACTGCAGATTGATATTTTCCATCAAATAGATCCGTCAACCAATCACAACTTGAAGTCATTCTACCATATATCCAGATAAAGCAGTCTTGAGATTTAGCTGCATCGCAAATAAGATGTAATTTTTCCTACTCCGTTACAAAGGCTTGTAACTTGTCAGATCATATATATACCTCTCTATCTTGTCCAAAGCTGATTTAAGACACTAATATAGCTTATCAGATCATATCGCAATTATAAAGTTTCCCAGAGACTGCTCTTGTCCAAACAATGTCACTCAATCGAAACATTAACATTAAACCTTCAATGGACATAGCTGATTCAAGAAAGAACAGTTCAGATTCTTATTCTCCATGCTTCTCTTGAAAGAGTCTCATTAACTAAAGAATTTAGAGTAAGATAATGATGGTAGGAACCAATGACATCACACACAGCTAGGTCAAACTTTATGTGAGATTGTTCCAGATCACAAGATCAAAGTGATTGCTTCAATTTTAGAATTTTTATATAGTTACTAATTCCGCAGAGAGAAATCCATCATCTTTATCTTTGAACAATTAGACTAATCTTCCGTAGTACTGAAATATCATTCTTTAGTATCACTATCATCCTTTCGAAGTTTCCAACTATTAGCCATGCCACAAAGATTGTTCAGACCAAGAAATTAAATTGAGATACAAGGACAAACTCGCATTCAATCTCGCTTTCTTAACTAATTCCTAGATTTCAAGACACTATATCCAGCCAAAAAGCTAACATGTGCAGAATAATATCATCCATGCTAAAAAGATGTTTCACCTTTCGAGTCACAATCTTGTGATCATATGATGACAGAAGAATGCAAAATCACCAGCATGCATTATCTGCAAGCCCTCCCTTCACTTATTGTGAGTGATCCTTCCAAACGATTCTAAAATATACCACTAACCACTAGACATAAAATGCCATCCTGAAGGCAGATAAATCTAGCATTCATAATTCCACCAATCTACGACATTCAGATAAATTGAATCAATCATACCACTGCCCATTTGATCACTGATTCAATGTCTGATCCATTATCTCCTCAAGGCATGCAATCCACTCATAAACCAGCACATGGATCTGGCATAAATTTACTTGACCAAACCCCTACTGAATAGCTGGAGTAACATTCCAAACCAGTCCTCCATAACTGCTGTAACCTTTCACACACTACATAAAAGTGATACATATATTGAAATCTCTCGTCTTCCCAGTACTGATATATAGCTAGCTAGTCTTGGGTGTTCATATTCTTCCAAGCCATATCAGACCAAAGAGCAGACAAGATCCAGTATTCTAGATATTCCAAGGTCTACGATATCTAAATAATCCCCAAAGCCAACCAGAAGCTCCAAATTAAATCAAGTCCAAACACCAATAATGCGCTCTTAATTTCTTGCAGCACCAAGCAATCACACAAATTAAACAACAGTACTACTACATGCCCATACTTTACCTGATATATATGATTATATGTTAACCATTTCTATCACATGATTTCCCGATGATCAGAAACCCGTTCGCCATACGTATTCTCAATCTAAATTCAATATCCTATCAATCTATATAAATTTCATTGCTATCTGATCAAAATTGGAGCATATTATCTTGCCCAAGAGACTAGTACTCAAAACAGTGGGGGAAAAAAACAGCATCATTAGCCTAGCTAGGATTATACACTTGCCAAACCAAGGTAAAGAAGAATCTTCCACCCTATAAAATCGATTTTGCTGCTGAATCCGTACTGTACAGTTGGATCACCACGCTCTCCCTCCATAACCCAATAAACAAGAACCTATAAAACACAAGGTACAATCACAACAAACGCACTCATTCCCCTCAAACTAATTACAGTGTTTTCTCCCAGCTTTTTTAGCAGTATAATTTTATGCACAAAGTAATCAAACTATTACTACAGTAATCAAATTTAACAACAATCTTATGGTATAATTATTAAAAACACATAACCCAACTGCTTAGTCAATATTTTATGGTATGAAAAGTTGGTCGCATACCTTGTTTGCAATTAACCCCTCATTCTTCATCTTCTTAATCTTCTTCTTCTTGAATTTCTTGTTGTCGTTGTTGTTCTCCTCCAATAACAAAACCCTTTTCTCCTTCTTCCTTTTCTTTACCTTCTTTGTTGCCTTTAAAACACTGCCACTCTCACCCAACACCTTACAATTATCATCTCCATTAACTTTATCTATTCCACAAAGACCTCCTTCTTCATGCGTTTGGATCTGCGGCGCCACGGCGAATATCTCAGCAATCGATCTCTTCTTGGGAGCTTTCGATTTCGCCTTCCTCATCTGCCTCCTCCGCTCCTCCCTCGATACAAGACAGCCATCGATATGGGCGTTCACACCGTTCACGGTAGCCCCGGCAAAATCTTTACAAACCGGACAAACCGAAGACGACAAGTCGTCGTCAGACGATTTTTGGGTCTCCTCACTCTCAGCATCACCATCACCATCACCATCAGCAGCAACAACCTTGTCAAGTCTTCGTTCGACGGCAGTGAACTCGATGTCGTTTCTCGGAATATCTGAGCTTTCTTTGTTCACAAGGGTTAGTACCTCTTGGTTTGTGTTGGATCTTTTCAAGCGGTGGAGCTCGTGGGACCACCACTTGAACTTGGTCACAGTCATCGGAGGAAGCAACGCCGCCGCTTCTGCTTCCTTCTTCTTCTTCGTATCTTCGTCGTCGTGGATGTCCGCAACCGTGAAGGGATAACATTTCAGAACGTCCACGGTTCGCATCTTCGCTGCATATTCTCTACAAAAACACAAGAACAAATTTTTAAGAGCGGCAAAAAACAAAGCAAAGTTGCTAAATTTGAGGTAGCTAGCAAGCTTACCGGATGGAGAAGCCATCAAACGCAGCAGCCATGGTCGTTTAATCTCTGGAGAATAAGAAGAGGAGGAAATGAGGATGAGGGTTGGAGCTACAAGCTAGAGAGAATAAAAAGCTTTAGAGGATAGAGATAGAGAGAGAAAGGAAGAGAGAGAGACAGAGAGACGCACATATTGTTTACTCTCCTGCTTTCTTTTTTCTTTGGGTTTGTGCGTGTATAGCATTATTATTATTTTTTTATTTTTCCCGCTCGAGAGAGGGAATGACTGAAGGAAAAGGGCAGACAGCAGCACACAGACTGAAGACTGAAAACTGAAGAGCAGTACTGTTCTACTCATGGGCTGAAGAGGTGGTGGTATTTCTTTGCTTTCTTCTCTCTCTCCCTTCTCTCTCCTCTCTCCTGTATATATCTCTTTCTTGAGCATTAGGAGCACTGTGCTTTGCTTCCCCCTTATTATGACTGACAGCGACCTGAGAGACCCCTACCAAAACGCTAAAGCGACCGAACACAACTACCCATCTCTATGTCATCCCCATCCCCATCCCCCACGCACTTACCATATTTCTATTATTTTTATATTCTTTTTATTATATATGAATAGAAAATGCTAAAAAAAAATATATTTTCAGAGCATATTTATGAATTATAATAATGTGACGTTTGATAGTTAGATTCTTTTTTCAAGCAAATAAACTTTAGCATAATTTGTGTGTAGTGGTAAATTACTATAATATTGTAAGTGAATGAAACCTGTAAGGGAAGAGATCTCTATTTTTTTGTAAAAATGAAGATTAGTTGTAGAGTCCACATTACATCAAACTTTAACCTTCCAAACCATTTATTTTTCAAGTTACATCTCATAGATTATCCTTGCAAAGTATTAGTTAAATTGGAAATGTTTAAGACATGTAATTGAGTTTAAAGAAATTAACGAATATTTTGTTATATAAGAAACAATGAAATTTTATCTTGATAATTAGGAAAGTGTTATTGACACTTTAAAAATATCATTCTACACTCCTCACAAGTGTATTTTTCTTTCAAAATATAGAAAGTTTGGAGTGTAGAATGAGATTTTTGGAATGTCAATAACAATAGGCAAAATGTTTCAGATTGAATTAAATTTTTGTAAGAATGATTTATGAAACGAGACTTACAAAATAGACGGTTCGAATCGCTGAAGTTCGATGTGGAGTGAGCCTCACACCTAATCCTTATTTAAAAAAAATAAAAATAGGAATCCCTTTGCATAAGAGGCATGTGTAAGTGAATATGAATAACACATGCATTCCCCATGATATTTGTATTTTCTCTTGAAAATTTATCTGTCTTTTCACTTATGATTAATATATTTTCACTGCAGGAACATCATAATTAATTTTGTTCATTCTCTATCATTACCTAAAGATTATATATGCAAAAATTCATTGAAAATTGTGTAGTCATCCATGCGTGTTAAACTAATTAACGATTTTGGTAATAAGTAGCATCTTTATGATGGCCCGTTTATTTATTTGTTGTATATGAATGGCTAAAAAATCTCCAAATTGAATGATTTTTGTAAATATAATATTTGGGTAAGAAGACTAAATTTTGTAAATTAAATGACCTGAAAATTGATGATTGGATTATTACTTAAGTGTTGATTAAAGTAATTATTTTATATTAATGACACATGGCAAGCTACGGTAATCTATCCCTTCTGGGGATCAGGAAGACTTACAGAGGCATTTCAGCCTCCCCCTGGCCACAAGTCTAGCTTCCACACCAACAGCGGGTTTCAAACTCAAGACCTCCAGTTTTTAGTTTGAAGGAAGCATTGCAATCCGCCCTTTACTATTAGGTCACCAGCTCGTGGTTTTATAATTATGTTTCCTAACAACAATAAAATACTTTGTCATTATGTATTAACATTATAACATACGTGAATTCTTTCCAACACTTGTTACTATATAAAAGCTCTCAAATGCTAGCTAACCAATTAATATTTTAATAGACACTATTTATTCATTTGGGTCCGCTCCACAAGGTAATTTCATGATTCAAATCCTTCAATTTTAGGTTCTCATTGATCATGCTTGAAAAAATTCAATCAAATTATAAATCATTTAGCCCTTTAGACTTTAGTCATTATTGTGAACATTTCATGGTTTGTCAATAACACTATATACTATTACAGTTAAATAACTAAACATTTTTCAATTTCAGTGAAATTTTGCAAGGATGATCATTTATAAACAAGCAAATAGTCAATTCAATTACGAGAAATATTATGGAGCGCACCTAATCGAGTGATGATTAGCGTTGCATTAAGATATGTTACATGAATAATTTACTTTTTTTAAGTAGAAGGAATTAAATGGATTAGTATATATTTTGTTTTTTAATTATTACTATTATAGGAGGGGCAAGGATTCAAAACTATTACATTAATTCAAGGGAGGGGGAGATTTGAACCTAACACGCATGGGCAGAAACCCAACAATTAAGATATTAGACCACATGCAAGGATTGGTTCTAAAAGATTAGGAAATATATCGTTCAAGACTAATTCATCTTCTACCTAAAACTTAAGCAGAATTTAAAAGTAAATATTATTCAATCCAGCCCAATCCTAGATACCAAGGTGGCATATAATATTATGTGTTATGTAATTGATTGAGTATGCATGTGTGTGGTAAGACTTCAATGAGAATTTTAAAAGTAGTAGCTCAATTAATTAAAAACATTCATTATTTTCACTTTCATATCTAGATCTGGTAATTTCTTATATGATCCGTTAACACGACACGTAAACGACATGAAAATAACAAGTTTTTGGTCAACACGATAATTAATTGGATCATTATCAGGTCACACGATAATAACTCGTTAATAACGGGTCCTTAACATGTTTACACGAGAATGACACGTGAGTAACTTGTTTCGACACGATAAGAAAAAAATTATTTTGATGATTTTAATTTTTTATACTAAAAAAAACATAGTATAAAATACAATAGATATAATGAATATGTATTTATTGTTTATTAATTATTATTCTATATAAATTTTAAAATTTTAGTTTTATTTATGTATTTATTTTTATAGTGTATATAGGCAAAGATTGAGATTAAAAATCATAAAACACATTAAAATAAAAATATCAAGTAATTTAAAACTACCAAACTCATTAAAAAAATTATAATAATTAATTTACATGTGCGAAAAATATGAAAAAAATATACAAACGCTCGTAGTCACATCCTCTACGCTTTGAGGATGGGTATATGATCTTTTGAATTTTTAAAACATACAAACTCTCATGAATAGTATTTTTAAGGGAGTTCAAAATAAACAAAATTCATAATCATTAATGTATAAGTCTGAAAGATGTGAAAGCATAATAAACGTTTATAATTGCATCCTTAACGTTGAGACGGTGGTTACATGGTCATTTAGATTTTTAAAACCCTCCAAATATCATGAACAGTGTTTTTATTTTAGTGCAAAATTATTGTAGAAGTGTGAAAAATGTAATCACTCGTAATGAAAAGCGTTACAACTTTCATGAAGGGGTCAACTCCTTAATTTAGTATGTATATACTAATTTAGTATTATGTTTTTACATTTTTTTGGGTCAAATTATGTTTTTCATTTTCATTTTTATTGATTTAAAATATATCTTTTTAACGGGTAACGGGTCAGGTCATATTACATGATAATATTAATGGGTTGATTTCTGGTCGGGTCATATTACCCGTTTACTTTGATAGGTACTACACGACACAACCTGTTAAGCTATTGAGTATGACATGAAAACAATACGAATACGAGAAACACGACACGAATATCAAGTTTATTCATATCCCCACCCGCTCGTATGAAAATATAGAAAAGAAAATTAAATTAAAAGGAATCCATTTTAATTAACAATGGTAATACAAATCCTTTTCATTTTAATTTTTGGACGGTATATGATAAGAGTACAAAAGAATAAGGAAAATATTAATCGTTGCTCTTAAAAAAGTTGTCAACACCACCAACACCATATTCGATTATTCTTGTAGCCATAAGCAACAAGAATTCTGCTACCGACGCAGGCAAAAGCTAAAATCAACACAACAGACGTTGAAAGGCATCGCGTGAACATACGCGACTATACTTAAGCTGGTCACTAATTAAGTTAAGCTAGTTAGTTTGTTCATTTATTTGCTGTTTTTTTTTGTTGGTTTGCCAAGGGGACAACATAAACAATTATCTTGTCTAACACCTTTGGAATTATCTAAGTAGAAATTTGGAGTTCACAATTCAAGTAGCTAAGAGTATTTGTCCCACATCGTTCAGGGGAGTGGATCATGTAAGCCTTATGTGTATATTCTCATCCCTACCTAGTACGAGACATTTTGGAAGCTCATTGGCTTTAGGTTCCGTAGGAGCTCCGAAGTTAAGCGAGAAGGGGGCTAGAGCAATCCTATAACGGGTGACCCACTGGGAAGTTACTCGTGAATTCCCAAAAACAAAACCTTGAGGGCATGGTCGGGGTCCAAAGTGGACAATATATTGCTACGGTGGAGTCGAGGCCGGGATATGGTGGGGGCTCAGGTCAGGATGTGACAATTTGGTATCAGAGCCAATCCTGACTGGATGTGTGCCGACAAGGACGTCGAGCCCCTATGGGGGATGGATTGTAACATCCTACATCGCTCAGGGGAGTGGATCCTGTAAGTCTTAAATGTATATTTCCATCCCTACCTAGTACGAGACCTTTTGGGAGCTCACTGGCTTCAGAGTTCATCGGAACTCCGTAGTTAAACGAGTAGCGCGTGAGAGCACTCCTATGATATTGTAACATCCCGCATCGCACAGGGGAGTGGATCATGTAAACTTTATATGTATATTCTCATACCTACCTAGTACGAGGCATTTTGGGAGCTCACTGGCTTCGGGTTCCGTATGAACTCCGAAGTTAAGCGAGAAGGGGGCTAGAGTAATCCCATGATGGGTGACCCACTGGGAAGTTGCTCATGAGTTCCCAAAAACAAAACTGTGAGGGCGTGGTCGGGGCCCAAAGTGGATAATATCATGCTGCGGTGGTGGAGTCGAGCCTGGGATATGGTGGGGGCCCAGGCTGGGATGTGACAATTTGGCATCAGAGCCAACCCCTGACCAAATGTGTGCCGACAAGGGCGTCGGGCCCCTAAGGGGGGTGGATTGTAACATTCCACATTGCCCAGGGGAGTGGATCCTGTAAGCCTTATATGTATATTCCTATTCCCACCTAGTACAAGGCCCTTTGGGAGCTCACTGGCTTTGGGTTCCGTAGGAACTCCGAAGTTAAGCGAGAAGAGGGTTAGAGCCATCAATCTC